AAAAAAATCGGTTGTCTGTAAAGTCGGTTTACTGACGATAGTTGAACGTGACAACGTCATAAGAAAATACTGATGGAATGGTTTCATTTTTCAAAAGAAAATTTTAATTTTATTTGTTCGATGGATATTTTGTATGGATATAGAGAGGTAGGTAAATGGAAATGTATTATTGTATAGCAGCTGTCCACGCGGACGCATCGCTCACTCAAGTAGGAGAGAGACAGATGTCGAACGCTGCCGAACGCGGAGGCCGATTGTGCCTCTTTGTCGCTCGTTCCGCGCTCCCGCTTACACTTCAAGTCTTAAATATAACGCCTCAGAGCGAGGTAACGCAGCATGAGTCATGTTTTTTCGTGCGTGCAGCCGGCTCCATCGAATTATAAGTCAAAAACAGATTTATGCAGTTGTCTCCTCTGATGATACAACTTTCGAGAATTACTGGATTATTACATCGTCTACTCTACCTAAAGTATGGAAGTAACTAACCTACTTTCGATATCCAGAGTTTTGTCGTTTCATCGGAAATTTTAATTAAAAATCGCGAATATTTTGACGTATGTATATATTCGTTGGATTTTCAATATGCAAAAATCCAACCTAAAGTTCAATTATCTACTTTTGAAACCAACACTAGTTTCAAAACCGTCCGTATAACGCAAATGAAATTGAAACTGTTATTAAATTTGTCTTGGTTTTCAGTTTTTAAACACTTTTATTTTAATAAGATTATATATTATATAATATCAATGTGTTGCAGATATGTAAACTATAAAAAAATAGAGCATCATGTATTTTGTTACACTACAAGTAAATATAACAGTCTCTTTGTTTAAAGCCTAATATTTATATCTGATTTAACAATATGCTTAGAAAAATAAAAATGTAAATGCATATTAAAAGTTTCACTGCAATGTATTATGTTAATTCTTTTGATTTAAAATAATTGATTTATTTTTTACAAGTACGTACAGATATTCACGTACAGGAATGTTCAATTTTATCATTGGGATTTTAACTTTCGATAATGAAAATTAGGTTAGAAATGTAATTAAGAACATACGGTGTTCTTTAACAATTCTTTATTATCTAAAAAGGTTGTCCACATTCCAAGTGGATTTTTGGGTTAAAATAACTGGCCCAGTTCGTTATCGATCTAAAGCAATAAATGCTCTAGGATAATGGCAGTGCTGTTTATATTCAATTAGGGAGTGCATGTTAAAGCTAAAACCCTCTTTCACTTAAAAGGATCCGATTGACTTGGATTATTTTCCTTGTTCTACATATTTATTCATTTTAAAGTAGTTTACTTACGCCAAACGTGGACGATCCGTTCCATGTTCTTATTAAGGCGTTTCTCGAAATAGATTACGGGTGCATATGTGTATATGTACTTTTTAACACATTTATTGTTCTGTTTGCTTTTTTCCCCTTTCTTTTCGACTATACGCCGATCTATAAAGTCACAAACATCGAGGCATCGGATAAGACATCAAAGGCCAATAAATAAACCATAATTTAACTGCCGAGTGGTCACACGCATTTGGTAACTGATGATTACCAAAATAAGTGTAGGTACTGCTCCACCACTTTCACTTTAAGCACGTGTATAATTCCATTATAAAAGTTCTTATAATTCACTCAAAATATAAGTAAATTAAAATTATTCGACGAATCAGGATATTTTTTGTAATATTAAAATTAAAATAGTATGTACTATAACACGTAACGGAGTGTCTGACCGGTCACTCGCTTAGCTAACGCCGCGAATTTTATCCTAATATGAACTAATTTTTAGCGATTATTCTGTGGTATGTCCGAATTACGATTTTATTTTTTTGAACTGAATTCGAAAATTTGTGATTGACCGTTCTTGAGAAATCAGATAAAAAAAGAATTCTGGTGATTATTCCTCCGTGGTATTCCGACTTTCATCATCATCATCATAAAGTCCTCAGTCCTCAGATTGGTTGGACACGTACCTCCACTCTTTCCTATCCTGAGCTAAACTCCGCATTTCTCTAAAACCAGAACAACCCACATTCTTAACTATTTGCGAACAGTAATCTAACCTAGGTCTACCTCTACTCCTCCTAACTCCTGTTGCTGCCTCTAATATGTCTCTGACTAGACCTTCATGTCTGAAAAGGTGTCCTACCAACCTATTTCGCCTATTTTTTATTGACTTCCATAAAGTTCTCTCTTCTCCTATTCTTTCCAATACCTCTTCATTTCTAACCTTTTCTACCCACGTTAACCTCATAATTCGCCTATAACACCACATTTTGAAGGCTTCCAACCTTTTCTTTTTCGCCGCACCCACTGTCTATGTTTCGCACCCGTACAACGCCGCGCTCCAAACATACACCTTTAACAACCTTTTTCGAATTTCTAAATTAACCGTTCGCAAGCATAGAAGTGACTTTGTTTTATTAAAGGCGACTCGACCCTGTGCTATCCTCTGCTTGATATCCCTACTACTCCTTCCGTCCTGACTTATCTAACTTCCTAGATATCTAAAATTAGCCACTTCTTCTAATTTTTCGTCTCCTATCTTTATATTCGCTCTTTCCCTACTTTTTCTTTCCTTGCATACCAGTATATTAGTTGTACTTTTATTTATTTTCATACAGTACTGATCTGTCAATACCGCTTCCATTTTATTTAAAGCTATCTCTAGGTCCTCCTTGCTAGATGCTAATACTGCTATAATTAAAAATTATTTTTTACAAACTTATTCCTGACTGTTCATGAATATTGTGCCAAATAGGAACTATATTGGTAAAGTCGTTTAAGAGACGAAGCATGTCAACCGAAAGTCCTAAATCAGGAAAGAAACTAGTAGCAAGAAGGCTTTCCATATGGTCGAAAAGGTAACCTTAAAATGTACAATAAAGAAAAGAGAAAGTCACATGGTAATCACGCGAACTGAAAAAGCCTCTTCACCCTAAACAAACTTAGCATTTGCAGAAAGGTAGAAAATTCCGTACGTTATCAACTATTTACGAACAGTAATCAAATCTAATTCTTTCCTCCTATTTCTATCTTTAACTAGGTTTTTATCTTTCATAAGGCTTCCTGGCATCCTACATATCTCTCCGTTTCTTTATTGACTTCCATCTCTCGTATGTTTTCCTAATACTTTTTCCGATATCTTCTCGTTTCTTCTTATCTTCCCTTTTCTTATCCATGGTATTTTAATCATCCGTCTATAACACCACATTTGAAACGATATTCTAAAATATACCGGATACTGAATGCATATCTGCAGATAATACGTAAACTGATAAGGCTCCTTTAATCCAGTTTTATTGCATTGATTTTACGGCAACAGGCTCATTAGGGCTTAGGAAATAGAAACGATTTTGATACGCCTTTTATATATTCTGTATATTGTCACTGAAGAAATAATTGCAGAATGGACTAATTAACTTTCAAATAACAATCGCTTTAACGCTGTTACAGAAATCAATTGAAAAGATTCGTATACGTGCAAGCTGAACGTTAAGGTAACCTCTACGTAGAGCACGAACATGAGCAGAATATTAAGCACTCTGCAGTTAAAATCCAAGTTGTGCTCGATTATATAACATCGTCTTCTTCAATTGATATTCAATGGAAAGACTACAATGCAATTTTTGGCTGGGATTACAACTTATTTGGGTTACACGTTTAACGTTTTACCAAACAATTGAATTAAAAACACAATCTTCCCCCCAAAATTCGTCCTTGTTTCAGAAGTATAAAAGTTAAACGGTTACCACAAAAAAAATCATACTTTGTCAAAGCGGTTTCAAAACAAAACACAACAATGGTTAGCAAAGGAATGGTAAGTGTTCAATCTAATTCCTATTTATATTTGTCTGTTAATCCATTTGCTATAATTAAAATTGATCAGAAAAGAAAAGTTTTCTAACAATACTCTTTTAGATAACATTAAACAAATTAAAAAATAACTTTTACAAATGCAAACCTTCACAGATAGGTCTAAAAGTATTAGAAAGTAGGACGGTACGCTAATAGTCAGAAAAAAGTATAAAAAATTGTTTTTTCAGTTGATTGTGTTCATCTCCTCTTTTGCCGTATCCTGTTATGGTTCAGGAGTCCCAGTAGCTGCTCCAGTAGCGTACGCAGCCGCTCCCGTTGCTTATGCTCCAACTCCTTATGCTACATCTTATAGTGCCAGTGTTGTGAACCATGCTATAGCTGCGCCAGTTTTTGCTCCTTTAATTGCTCCTGCTCCTGCTCCGGTTATTGCTGCTCGTGCTGCACCTTTAGTAGCCCCGGCTAGTCCTTTAGTGGCTCCAGTCGCACCAGTTCCTCCTGTTGTAGCAGCTCGTGCTGCAGCCGTTGCAGCTCCGCCACCTGCCCCAGTAGCAGCTGCACGAGCTGCTCCCGTTGTAGCACCACCTGCACCTCTGGCACCTGCTCCAGTAGCTCCTGTGGTAGACGCTAGGGCAGCCCCTGTTGTAGCTCCTGTAGCGCCCGTAGTAGCAGCTCGAGCAGCACCTCTTGCAGCGCCAGTAGCTTCACTCTATGGTGTTCCACCAGCAGCTTTTCCTTACGCTTATTCGGCTTCATACAATGCTCCTTTAATTTACAAAAAATGATTTGTTAAATGATATCTTGTAAATGTTGGATACGATGGGATGTTCTGTAGGCAATTGTTTTGTAAATACGCAAATATATCTTTCATTAAAATATGCATCGATATTAATATAAGGAAGCTGATATTTACAATTTTTCCTCCTTTAAATACTTCAACAAAAATGTTTCTTTTCGATACCTAACCTTTATTGATTTCACTTTGCATTTTTAATATTTTTCCATTAATCCTTCAAATAATTTTAAAACGATGTTTACATTTGATTAACAAAAGCTTTGGCAAACAAAGCACAGTTCGCAGGAAGCATCTTCTTGTAAAGTGCTATTTTAAAAGATAAAAAGCAGCACAAGATGAAAATTCGCCCGTGTTTCCAAAAAGACTCCCCTTTTAAAAACAACGTAAATATTTATTAATGCATCAGCAGCGCGTATTCAAATGCTCTATAGGGTCTAAACAGGGTAAACAATAACATACACATTTCAAGAGAACAGAGATTTTTAAACGTTCTAATACGAAGACGTAAAATATTCTCGCATTTTTTAATTTACTTTTCAAAAAAGGTTAACATTCTAAGTATTCCTCCAAATAAACCGGTGATTGTTTTTATTAATTTACCTATTTTAAACAACTGATATAAAGACTGGCCTTTCCTCTTGAGGTATCTATACCTAGAAACCCTAAAAATATTCTCGCATTTTTTAATTTGCATTTCAAAAAAGGTTGATATTCTAAATATTCGTTCGAAATAACCGGTGATTGTACATAACTTAATGTAATAATTTAACACTTATTATTAATTTACCTATTTTAAACAACTGATATAAGGACTGGCCTTTCCTCTTGAGGTATCTATACCTAGGAACCCTAAGATATTCTCGCATTTTCTAATTTGCATTTCAAAAAAGGTTGATATTCTAAATATTCGTTCGAAATAACCGGTGATTGTACATAACTTAATGTAATAATTTAACACTTATTATTAATTTACCTATTTTAAACAACTGATATAAGGACTGGCCTTTCCTCTTGAGGTATCTATACCTAGGAACCCTAAGATATTCTCGCATTTTCTAATTTGCATTTCAAAAAAGGTTGATATTCTAAATATTCGTTCGAAATAACCGGTGATTGTACATAACTTAATGTAATAATTTAACACTTATTATTAATTTACCTATTTTAAACAACTGATATAAGGACTGGCCTTTCCTCTTGAGGTATCTATACCTAGGAACCCTAAGATATTCTCGCATTTTCTAATTTGCATTTCAAAAAAGGTTGATATTCTAAATATTCGTTCGAAATAACCGGTGATTGTACATAACTTAATGTAATAATTTAACACTTATTATTAATTTACCTATTTTAAACAACTGATATAAGGACTGGCCTTTCCTCTTGAGGTATCTATACCTAGGAACCCTAAGATATTCTCGCATTTTCTAATTTGCATTTCAAAAAAGGTTGATATTCTAAATATTCGTTCGAAATAACCGGTGATTGTACATAACTTAATGTAATAATTTAACACTTATTATTAATTTACCTATTTTAAACAACTGATATAAGGACTGGCCTTTCCTCTTGAGGTATCTATACCTAGGAACCCTAAGATATTCTCGCATTTTCTAATTTGCATTTCAAAAAAGGTTGATATTCTAAATATTCGTTCGAAATAACCGGTGATTGTACATAACTTAATGTAATAATTTAACACTTATTATTAATTTACCTATTTTAAACAACTGATATAAGGACTGGCCTTTCCTCTTGAGGTATCTATACCTAGGAACCCTAAGATATTCTCGCATTTTCTAATTTGCATTTCAAAAAAGGTTGATATTCTAAATATTCGTTCGAAATAACCGGTGATTGTACATAACTTAATGTTTAATAATTTAACACTTATTATTAATTGACCTTAAACAACTGATATAGGGATTGGCCTTTCCTCTTGAGATACCTATACCTAAGGACCCTAAAAGCGAAATAAGCAATTATAAACGTAAACCTTAAGTGTTTTATTATCCTTACAACTAAAGAAACGATTTTAAAGAAAAACAGAGCAAATTCATTACAGCATAACTTACTTGGAGATTAGTGTTGATTAATTTTAACAAATTACATCTGTGCAATTCATAAAATGGGAAAGTGCGCACTACTATATTTCAATAAAACGGTCCCAAAGCTACTTGTGATAATATAAATCTACGTCCACGGTGATAACAAATAAGGTCCTTATTGAAATAAATGGCTACGTTCGTTTAAAAGATAGACGGTAACAGTGCGAATAAAATCGTTTCGTTGAAACCTTAATTGTGAAGGAATCTCTTGCAATTTTTTCCAATTCTTCGTTGTATTAAAAGAAATATTCTTCCGTCATCCATAAAGAAATTATTAAAGAAGCCTGTAATGCTTTTTATCTGTAAAATTTTTTTGTATTCTCTAGCTTATCCACACTCATGAGCAAACAGTTTGTTGAAACTTCCAATTGTACGTTCATTTAACGGTGCAACCAATGCAACTTTATAATTATGGTATTTGGTTGAAAGAAACCGATTTGGCTACTCATTGTTCAGTATTGTCACCCCCAAATCGAAAATGTATTAAACTTGTTCGTCGTAATAGTATAGAATATTTAACGACTTAGTGTAATTAAAGGATAACTAACACAAAAATTTTCAGTTATTCTCAAATTTGTACACGATAAATTTAGGAAAGTTTTCTACAAACGTTACTGTTTATGGCGGGAGCATAAGGAGAATCCTTTTTCTATCGTTCTGTAATAAATAGTCTAGGAGTTAAACTGAAATGAAAACAGTTCGATAGCAAAATCAAGACGTAATGTAACGTAAGAGTCTCGAACAGGCAAGAATCACAAATATTCCAGCTATTACGGTAATTGCCATTGCGAATATTTCACCAACTCTCTTTCGCTAAATAAAGGATGCATTGAAGTAGGATTGGTATTAAATTTATAGGATCTCGATAAGTTAGATTTATAATCCTACATACTGCGTACTGGTTGCCGCCGTCTTGATAGCTTTGTTCAATAAAACTACACTACGTCCTACACTAGATCATACACGTAACAGAGCGTATATGTACGTAGGTACTTATATACGAAATGGCATGTATATAGTTAATGTACTGCTATCTGTCTTGCAACAGCTAAAACATTAATGGTTTTCCGATGAATTAAAGGCAGCGGTCTGGATAATTCATTACGGTGATAACATGGTTCTCATCTATTTAATTTCCCTCTAAAATGCGCTCCGTTACTATCTCATTTCTTACAATTCTTTTCCTTTCTTGCTTAACCCTTACGCTAAAGCGAAACGAAAATTTGCAGACAACGAAAGATTAGAACTTATTAGTAGAATCCTTAACGCAATCACCGCACCGCTTGAAAAATCATGAAACGTGCAGCTCGAATTGGCAGGAAAGCTCGCTTTTTACTTTTATCGAACGTTGTTTAAAGGATTTTCCCGTTGTGTTAAAATAATTACATCAACCTTCTAGAGCTAGAGTATAAATTGCCCCAGTGAAGGTTTTGATAAAACCCAAAGCAACTTTTTTTAATCCTTAATAGTGGGGATAGATATATAGGTGTAAAAGATTAGTATGCTCAGATCTGCAGATGATATGGCAATATTAGCATATGGCAAGGTACTGACAATACAGAACTGTATCAAAATAAATAGAAGTAAAACAAAAACACTGGTATGCAAGGGACGAAAAAGTAGAAAAAGAGCGAATATAAAGGTAGGAGACGAAAAATTACAAGAAGTTACTTATTTTGTCAGGATGGAAGGAGCAGTAGACATATAAAACAAAGAATAGCGCGGGGTCCAGTCGCTCTCAACACAAAAGAAGTCACTTCTATACACGCAAATGGTTAATTTAGAAACTCGAAAAAGAATGTTAAATGTGTGTGTCAAGAAGTTAATATCGTCTGTTTTCGTATAGAAAGAAAACGAAGTTAATTTCGCCAATTACAGACCAAATTTTATTTGTGATACTCTCTATTTCTATAACATTACAATGACGACGTTTCGATCATTGTTTTTGATCATCTTCAGGTCTACAAATAAACAATACAAATTTACAATTCTGATTCATTACAATAAGATAACAATAATTTAAAATCATCTAAACTCGCCATTAGTAAAAAATGGAAACATAGTTACATAGTTAATGGTTTTCACATAAATAATGTAGAATGTTAAATGTCTATGTCTGGAACACGACGCCATACGAGTGCGAAACATGGACAGTGAGCGCGGTAGAAAAGAATAGGTTAGAAGCGTTCGAAATGTGGTGTTACAGGCGAATGATGTGGATACCGTGACTAGAGAAAGTAAGAAATGAAGAGGTATAAAAATAGGAGAGCAGAGGACATAATGGTAATGTTCCTGTTTTAAGGAAATTAGATTAGATTAGAATAAGAAAAAGTATAGGTGCGTGTCCAACAATTTTTAGGACTGATGACTTTATGATGATAATGATGAATAAGACTTAGACCAAATCGGTATTGACTATCCTACGAGTAATTAAAACTGATGGTATTAGGAGCATGGATAGCAAACTTTTCGTCAAAATTAACATTATCTTTATCCCCTGGCATAAATTAACGAATTAACCATTGGATTAAAATGGAACCTTTAAAATATTAGGAATCAAATTGTCAAGTAATTGATATTGTAATGTTCGTGGGTTTAACAAATTAACTTTTAAGAATAAAACTATTTATTTACACTAATTATTATTGAACTTAAAAACACTATTAAATTGTTACTAAACTTAGGTAATTATTCTATTTATTTACACTACTGTTACTATTCACTGTTCCATTTATTTCACTTCTATCACTGTCAATTTATTTCTTGATTCACTTCTGCAACGGTCTATTTATTTCTACTACTCTTTGGCGATCGTCTCTTTCCTTTAAATACTCCCTTACCTCCTTTCGGGAACATTCTCGAGTCGTCCGGAGAAGTTTCGTTTTCTTCGAACTGTTTAGTCGGCGAATCGATAAGCCGCTCACACACACGTATGCCCGATCGCAAACAAACACGCTCCTGCTCGCTACAATATAATA